ATCTGTTGTGGTGTCATGCGTTTCAAAAAAGAGCCCTCCGGAAGATGCTAAAAAACCGCAGAGCAAAGCAACACACTAACACGGCCTGCTGCCTTTGAGTGTGCTTGTCCTGCTGCGTAGTTGATGCCATGTTGACGGAAGCTCTTCCGTGGGGGTACCTTAACTAGCTTTCGTCCCAGGCCCTCACCCCCAAGTTCCCCCTTTGCCGGTGTGTGTGAAAACCGTGGTGAAAGCTCTGCTCTCCGGTCTCGAGAGGCACTGGACAAGCGAAAGAATGCTCCTTCGAGGCTGGGGAAGGGGAGAAGCACATTCGGGTGTTGGGGGACGCAATCAAGCGCTTCAATCATCTAACATGAGAAGGTAAAAACGTGCTTATCGCCTCCAGCGCAAGGCACACTTCTCCGAGGACGGCATGGGCGGCATAGGCGCTTTGCTTCTGCATGAAGAACATCGGTTGGTACATGTTGGCACCGGAATGTAGGGCATGTGCAAAGTCAGTGAACACTGCTACCTACCCGCTTTAAATTATTGCGGTCTTCGTCTCCATCTTGCAGATGCTGCAGACTTTGGAGCCTAGCCTCTTGGGAGTCCTGTCTGTGGGACATGCTTAACTGCTTGGCGAGAAGCTTGTGCTTTGTCATAAAGTAGCTGCCCTGCTGGAGAGGTTTCGGTGGTTTCGGTGAACTCTTCCCTTCGGCAAGAGAGGCCGGCCTTCCCAGGGTTCCGCTTCCCGTGTGCAAGCTTCTCATGTCTAGTCTTGCAGATGACTTCGATTGTGAAAGCTCCCGCAAAAAGACCCTTTCCTTTCAGTACCTCGAAAACTTCTGCGAAAAGGCGCTTGGGGGTATGGGGCACCCATAGAGGACCCATGGGAAGCCCCCAAAGATCCCCAAAGTGGACGGCTAGCCTGGTACGCAAGCATTCACAGCACGCAGGAGCCCCTTGGCACAGATGACACGACACCCCAAAAAGCATCTGCAGGTCTACTCCAGTTTTGTGCGTGTGCAGCCTTACTCCCCCCGGGGTTCCCAATTGAGCCTTCATCCCCTACAGCAGAAACTCTGAGATCCCTTATTCCGATCTTCCCCTTTCTCCTGGTACTCGTGACTGCAATGCTGTAGGAACCCAAAGTCAGTTCCTACGTTCCAAGAAGGACCTGTAGATCAACCCCCACCTGTGCTAGTTTTCACACGCCTCCTCACCCCTCAACCTGGAAGCCGGAGGCCTGGCGAGCCGGCGGGAACCTCTGAAGGCCCCACAAGAGGCTCAACCCTATGTGATTCTATGTCTGTATGTCGGGAAGCAAAGACGCTTTTGCATAGTGAAGGGAAGGTACCTTTGGGGGAAGTTGGGCAGTTGGGAAGTTGCCACGGCTTTGGGAGCTTTTGCATGGGAGCTTTCGCATGGGGAGGGCAGCTGAGGTAGCGAAGTTGAAGGCTACTAGAAGATTCAGTTGCGAGTCGCGTTGGTCTTGGATTCTGCGCCTTTGCTGTCAGGGCTTCTCCAAAGAGTACCAGCGCTCTTTCCGAGTACCAGACGGCTGTGTGTCGGCAGCCTCTTGCTCCCGTAGCATCTCCAGAGCACACTGAAAAGAGATGTCAAGTAGTGGAGGGTAGGAGCATTTGTAGTGGCATGCGGGTCCTAGGTGCTGCGAAGAGCCATGCCGACTCCGGCAATACCACAACCACGATATGACAGAGCGACGAATTTCGACAATCGTTCATGGCTCCAGTTCTGATAAACTCCCATTCCATAAGTAGGCACGGTTCGACCCCTGCTCGGTAACCGGTGCATGCCCGATGTCTCACCCTGTTCGGACAGTTCATGCGTTGATGAGGCTCCTGCATCCGTTCTTGTTCGGCAGCCCGAACAACAGACCTTCAAAGCAATGGCGCGAATCAATATTCCGCAGCCCCAAAGAAAGAAGGAACAACGAAAAAGAGAGAGAGGTGCGGCGGGCCAGGAAGGAAGCAAGGAAGGAAGGAAGGGAGGAAGGAAGGAAGGAAGGGGAAGGAAGGGGAAGGAAGGAAGCAGGGAAGCAGGGAAGCAAGGAAGCAAGGAAGGAAGGGAGGAAGGAAGGAAGGAAGAAAGGCGTGCGTATGCGTACATCCTGGTTTCAAGCTGAGGTGACTGGATTCTTACAAGCTAGGATTGCGTTTTCCAATGCTTGGGCTGACAGTCACTGCCCAGCGAAGAAGCATAATGAGGTCGCGCCTGGCCTGATCAGCCAGGCGTACCTGCGTTTCGAGATGATGTGTTGTTGTGCATTGTTTCAGTGCTATCATTCAACATCCTCGCTGCTGTTCTTATCTTCGACTTCTTCAAGAACAGGATCCCCAGAACCAAACTCATTGAAGCACTTCTTCCGTTTGTCTTTGTGTGTGTGTGTGTGCATGCAAGTGTCATACACACGTGTAAGCATTGCGCAATAATCTAGCTATGTACCTTCATCTGAAGCCTCCTGCGACTCACTTTGCTCGGTCCGAACAGTTTGCGAACGGTGCCAAAGCCGGCGCGTCGTTCTCGTGGAAGCTTTGGAACTTGACTTGATGAGCTAGGTTCCCAGGTTTGAAGGAGGTTTGAAGGTTCATCTGCTCGCAGAACTCCCATCTACTCAAGACCCAAGTGCAAGAACACTTGCTTGAAGCAAGCCAAGATATCAAGAGGTCATTGAAGCGCGATGCGGCGGGCAGAGCCGAGACACGCTTCTGTGATCCCCTATAAATCGACATGGTTGCAAAGCTTCTCGCGATTAGCATTGGCTGAGAGGTCCTTGGCCTCCATGCTTGGCGGTCTTTTTTCATGGGCACGCAGAAGACGGTGAAAGACGGTCAGAGATTGCCGAGCATGGCTGTTTCCGTCGCACTATAGCCGTAGGGTCCGAAGCGAGAAGGACTCCGCGGAAATCGACAAAAGTATTCGGGACAGGTCTCAGAATCAGTTCAGGGACACATCGGCACCTGGTGTCGTCATTCTCTATTTGTCTCCTGGGTTCGGTGTCCAGCCAGATTGGGCCTTGGTCGCGGAGCAGCCCCACTCCGGATCTCGTCTTGCAGAGTACAATGATGCGTCATGAGCTGCAGATTGCGTTACGCCTCTGTCCCTTGCTTCGGGAGGCAGAGGGGTTTAGGGTTTAGGGCAACCCTAAACCCTAAACCCTGCTTCGCTGCTTGCCTAAGTACTAACTAAGCCCCTGCCTGCTTGCAAATGTCGTTGTTGGGCTGAGGGTCGAGGTCTAGGCCTGCGAGGGATGGTATTACACATGGGACAAGTATCATGAAAATGGCTTACCTTCGTCAGTGTCCTTATACCTTATACCCCTACGCATGGATCTGTCAAGTGTTTGCCCTTGAGTGTGGCAAGACGAAGTCGCCTTATGCCGGCCGATCCGGGACACAACGAAGGCACCGTGAAGTACCAGAACCTCTCGAGGACGAGGTCAAACAGCGTCAGGGCACTTGCAGGGGAGGAGAACCGAAAGCCCATGCCCCGAGTGGCGGCTGCGGGCATCCCAGCGACACCCCCGCCTTCTGGCTTCATGCCTGGAACACCGCCGCCGAAACACACTGGGTCCCCCCCTAAGGCCCCAGAGAGCCTAAGCCCCTGATAAACCCAAAACCCAACGACTCCCCAAGCCTTACTTGGAGGTTATGGGGTTTAGGGTTCAGGGTATAGGGTTTGGGGTTACAGTTGTAGGGCAAGAAGTACCCTAAAGTCTATTATCTATGATCCAGTCTGGCTGCAATTCCTGAGTTAGAAGTACCCATGACTCTCCAAGTAAAGCCCCCAAGCTCTAAACCCTCAACCCTAAGCCCCCCCTCAACCCCAAACCCTTAATCAGCCAAAGAACGTGGGATCCTCAAGGCACAGAAAAGCCTACCCTACACCCTGACCCCTAACCCTAAACCCGAAACCCTATTTTCACCCTAAACCCAACCCTAAACCCTAAACCTTGCCCAGTGCTTCAACAGCTCATCCTCGAAGTCTGATCTTGCGCAGGATGATGTCACAGCAAAGCTGACCGATATCATCAAGGTGAACAACACGCTGAAAACGCAGGTGGGGTTTTCATCATCAGTGCTTTCCTTGGCTTGCAGCTTTCATGCTCCCAGGTTGAAAATGGAGCGGGCGAGCATATCATTTTGGATTTCGTCAAGCTTCTCCAGGTGCCTGCGTCTTGGTGAGGGTTTAGGATCGGGTCTTTCACAGAAGCCTTGCGAAGTGCCTCGCCGTGACTTTGGAAAGAGCAACTTTCGGGCAACCTCCCAAGTCAGCGATGGAAAGTGGTTCGGGGTATTGGTTCAAGTCGACAGCGGAGGCCTGGCAGACCTGAAACGAGAGAGTCTTAGTTTGCCTTTTGTTGGGAGAGGGCGTAGTCTCATCAGTTGCTCGATATGTTTGCCCCGGCGCCGAGACCGTACTTTACAGTTACATGTGCCCGCTCCATAGCGAGCCAATGCTTGGCGGCTTATGCAGCAGAATCTGGAGTTAGTCGAAATCACCACAGTGCAACTCCTGCATCCTTTGGAGACTGTGACGCTAGCTGATTCGACATCTTGGTAAAGACACAGACAGCCAACCCTGGCGCAACATTGCACAACCCTTGACGCTCGCAACTTGCAGCGCCCCTGACTTTTGAAGCCTGTGCACCTCTCAACACGCTGCGCAGTATCACATCTTTACGCTCTGCGACAACACCATCGTGGGAATTCCGCAGGCCAGCATCTCCTCAGATGCCTGATAAGAAGTCTTGATGACTCCAGAAGACGAGTGTATGAGACGTGTTAAGAAGTTCAAACATGTCCTCAAGCCCCGGCTCGTCATTGGCCCCTTGTGCATTGTTCAACTAGATCAGCTCGAGGCACGAGTTGTGAAACCACCTGTGTTGTCTTTGAGCTGAGCACTTTGTGTCTATTGGTACTTACTGCGTGCAGCTCCAGCGGCCCTTTCTTCCCAAAATCCCGGAGGCCTGTACCAAGTCCAAGCGGCCCCTGAAATCCATGCGGGAGCGGCTGAAGTCCAAGGAGGGCCGTCTGCGAGGCCGGGGAGTAAAGGCAGGAATCTTTGCAAACGCGAAAGCAGCTACTGTAGTACTGGGTAGCACTGCGGTAGCACGGTAGAACATGATACTGTATAACCTTCCAGGCTTTTGAAAACTCCTGAGGTTGACGGCTGCTTTTGTGGATCGACTTTTTCTGGACATTTCTTGCGTATACTTTGCAATGCCAAAATAGCCCAAGCCTACTTCACGGCCCTGGCAGGCACCCTGATGGGCAAACGTGTGCCTGGGTCTGCAAGTAACTCCTGCGAGGGTATCTACGGTAGTGGTTGGAGGGCTCACTGGCGAAGTGCTTCTTGAGGGCTCAGCTTTCCGCCACACTCCAAGTTCCATGGGTCTACCCTGGCCTGTCCCCATAAAAGATGTTCTGGACGGAAATGTCGCAAAGCAAAGGTACGCGAGTCATGGAATCAGTTGGGCTTGGTAAGACTGCTGCGGAGCTTTAAAGGGCGGCCCCGACATGAACGCTTCAGTGTAGTTAAACGAAAAGGAATGAACATGCGACAAGGTTAAATTGTGAACATTGTTTACATTGTTCACATTGTTGGCATATGGAAGGCTGGATGCGATGCGGGATCTGCGGTTCCCTTGTAAAGCGATAAGGAAGAAACGAACGACGAACGACAAGGTCTGCCAGGTTTGCTAATATTGGGCACTTGCGTTCACGACAGGCTTTCCACGCCATCCCCCAAGGTTTCTCACAGCTAGAGTCACTGTGAGCCGAGGTAGACTTCTGTGCACGGAGCGTCATTGGCGGCGACCCGAATCTGGACACCGAGCAGGTCGGCGTCCCAAGGCGTGGGCACACGTGGGGGTTTCCGTTGTGATGGGCAGCTGTTCCGACGTCATGTTAGCAGCCAGATTGAACAGCGTACTGTTGCTGGAGCTCCGTGGAGCTGCATTTCATGTGTAAGCAATTGCTATTATAAAACCTCGTCATTCCGCTATTTTGTATTTCCTTATTCTTGAATGTAGATTACATGAGCCCAACTCTTCGAATTTATCATTGCCAAGTTTTCTGCACAACCAGGACGTTGTTGTTCTCATATTGAAATATCCTCCAATCTGAAGCAATCATTCACCACAGTTTTTCACAATGCTTCTGCGAGATGAAATTATGTATTCCACTCAATGTATATCTCATGATCCAATCTTTGTCTCACAGTGTGCTTCTCGTTTTGATTGCAAATTCCTCGATAATCCTGTTCTGTCACATCCTGCCGTTTCCGAGCTCTGGAATAAGAAGGCCGACTTCTATGGACACTTCTTGTGAGTAGTGTTCTGTTGCTTTTGAGGGGAGCAGGAGGGGACTGTTATGTTTTTGGCTCCTTGCTTCATGAGCTTCCTGGCTTGTGGGCTTCCTGGCTTCCTCGCTTTCTTTGCCGTTTGGCTTCCTGGCATCTGGGCATGTATTTCGTTGCCCAAACTGGGCTTCTGTCAATTTTCATGTGCAATCCTGAGCTCACTTTGACCCAGAAACATTTCAGTCTCTGGATTGGATCGCTCTACTTCTGTCTGATGTGAAGTGGAAAGGGTGGAGGGGGGGGGGTGCAGCGTTGTGTGACAAGCGACTTTCGAAAGAGAGTGGGGCACGCTTGCTTCAGCACAGTTCAAGCCAATGATGTTTTCCCATGACGGACAACTTTGCATCAGCATGCAACTATGGCACCAACACTTCACGCGAACCCTAAAAGCATTGATTTCAAGCAGAACCTAGGCGTAGTTGTAGATTTCCTAGGATGTCGGGAGGGCAAGAGCCTCAATACATAGCATGTCTTATTCAGAATGGAATGAGTTCTCTCTGGATCTTTCTTGGCCTCAAAGAAGTCGAAGGATCCTTGCATGAACCATCCTTTGCTTGCGAAAAGAGCTCGTTTCCATAGCTTGCATGCAAGTGCCTGAAGGTCTGTGGCTTTGAACTTGACCTTCCCAGAGCGTGTCACTCCGCGGCGTCCCCAAACACTCTTCCTCAGCGGTCTGCTATAATTCGGGCAGGGCTTCGTGCTTTTTAAGGAAACATGCGCGCCGGTACTGAAGCAGATTTGCACTGAGCGTTCGAGCTTCGCAGCCATATTCAGTCGTCTACTGACCCGTAGACACCTTCTGCAGAACCGTAGGCAAGCTCAGTTTCTTAGCCATCTGGCTCCACCAAGCACGAGAAGTGGTCACACTTCTATATGCCCGAAAATGCGAGGGATCTTTCGCCAAGCCCAATGACACTCCAAAGCCGAGCTATTCTCAGACAGGGGTTTAAGATCTGACCTCGGATATCCACTGAGGTTGAACGCCAACTGGCTAAAGGAGCTGGTCGTCAACGGGCCAACCACCTGGCCGGGCGCAAGGTGGCCATTAGTGAGTTTCGATGGTTTGTTGCTGGCTATCCCTACAATTCCCGACACATTTCATTGGGCCCGGAGCCTGACAACTCAGAAACCTACAGAGTCCGCTGTATTCAATGCATTCGCTCCTCGCTAGAGCGGGGTGGGTGCCCATGAGCGTCGTCTTTTGTCGTACCGGGCATCGTTCAGTTCATCTTCAGAACTCATGGGGCTCATGGGCAGAATTCGAGGCCACTCCAGGCCACTTAGAGAAAAAACTCGCACTACAGGAGCTGCAGAGATCACCACACTTCACGGCGTGATTTGTGTTTGAACGCCCGAATAATGTGGCCGGCCCTGAGCACCATGTGCAAAAGAAAGAGACAACATGAGCATAGGGCAGCATAGGCAAAGTCGGGTTGCCGCAGGTACATTATCCGTGACGACGGGACTCGCATTGACCTGCGGTGGCCCATGCGAGTTGGCGGGTTGAGCTTCTGAGTGCGGAGATACAGAGATGCACATCGAGAGAAACGAGCAGCTGGCAACTACGATACATCAAGCGGCGCTCATTGGGTTGTTCTGATGAACGCTGCTGCAATGATGCTGCCACATCATCACGTCAAGGCGACGGTGACGATGCCTTTGCGGTACAGATTCACGTAGGTTCTGCCAGCGATCGCCTGCCAGCATTTGTCATCTTTGCGATGCCTTGAGCCAGGTACATCGGCGACCGGAAAGCGATAGAGCTGCAGTGGGCCGCCCAGCGAGACAATGCAAAGAAGCCACGAATGGCAGAGAGAGAGAGGGTTGTTGACAGTGTGCAGAAGAAGAAGAAGAAGAAAGAGAGTGTTGTTACGCAGGACGCAAGAGAGTATGTGCGATGGACATGCAGGCGTAAAGGCTGATGTTGCTCACATCGCTCACTGTCACACTGTGTTTCACGGAAGACTTGGAGTTTCACAGTGTAATGCACTCGCATGCGAAGCCTGCCTCAGGAAGACCGAATGGGCCTCGGACCCACAGTAAATCCCAGGTGCCCGAATGTCCTTCTCTGAAAGCGTTATGTCATGTCGAGGGAGCCCAAGACCCTGCAACCACGAGGTTTGGTTGGCGCGTAGAACGCCATATGCTAGATGGCGACTACGTCTGCTGCCGAGATTTTTGTTTGGGTGTGACTTAAGGGCCTTAAGATGAACCTCCTCCGTCCAGCACTGGTAGCTGAACGCGGGCTCACGTACATTCTGGTCATAATGATGCTCCGGCATCATGCTTGATGAGTCTCATGAGAGTTCGTCTCGTCCCCAACCCCACTCGATTGTGCGATGGAAGAGCTACTAGGGACTGTGGCAGGGCGATGTCGGCATTGGTGTAGTCAGCACATCTGGACACCTGGACTTCCGAATTCCTCTTGCGGTTTTTGTTGCAAGCTCCATTGCGAAGCAGCTTGCGCCTGAAGTCTGGGACAAGAAGGCGTCTTTAGCAACCAGGATGGGAAACCCTGAATCATATCCTTGGAGGCGAGGCCCTAGGTCCCTGCTTGAGATGCCATGCATCGCAGCTTGACAATGATGTGACGTGTGGCAAGCGACTGCTCTCAGGTCATCTTCAATCGACAGCCATCACTGCACAAGATGAGCATGATGGGCCACAGGGCCAAGGCCAGGTGTGATGGCAGCGTAATTCGGAATAAAAACGAGGCACGCTACAAACCCTTTCCCGACTCTAGACGACGTAGACAACGTGGACATAACAGATTCTTGTAGATATGAACTAGGAATTAGAGTAATTAGAGGGGCCTGGTTGCTGCATGAGGACATCTAACCTTCGAGCACCCAAGAACCTACAGTGGGGCATGGGGTTTATGGCATGGCCTCAAGACTCAGGCGGCCGGGGTTGCTCCGGTCACAAAGGATGTCTGTGTTTGTCGTTCCTGAAGCGATGGCACGGCTCAAAAGACCCGAAGTCCCACACATCAGGGTGCCCTGATATGCTCTGGGCCTTTCGAAACCTGAACGCCTCAGATATGCAGGTCATGCCATTCTCTACATTGCGATTCAACCTTGCCGGGGGCACAAGAATCTTGTGGGTGCAAGGGCTTCCAAGCATCCCTCTGAGGGTCTTGAGCACTCCAGATGTCGACTCCACTGCCGATGCTGCGCAGCAAGGCTGTGACGTCGCCCTACAATGCAGATTTCGATGGAGATGAGATGAACCTGCACTTAGCCCAGGTTCTGAACCTGCATGGTTCTGCTTTGTATACGCATAAAGCTGTTTGTCCACCCGATGCGGTAGGATGAAAGTGACAACTTGGGCATGCCAGGGTCGCTCTAGCGGAGCTCTTTGCTAAAGGCTTTAAGGTTGAGAAGGACATTTTGCGCCGAGTGCAACCTGTGCAGTCGCAAGAGACCCGCGCGGAGATCAAGCACATGATGCTGAACCCGCGACAGGCACGGCTGGTGCCATCAAAAGTTTCAAGCGACGCTTTGGTGGGTATAGTCGGCCGCTGCAGCAATACAGCATGCACAGGAACAGTGCCTCTTCCAGAACGATTTTGTGCACAGAAGCCGTTGCAGGTCGTGTCGCCTCAGGGCAACAAACCCGTGATGGGCGTCGTGCAGGCAAGCATTCATGCGTCTAGGTTGCTGGATGGCGTCTGGCGTTGCAGTTGGAACTGAGAGCAGGGCCTTCAACCTAATGCTCAGCCGAATCAGGACAGCCTCTTAGCAACAGCGAAGTACACCAAGCGGGACACATACATGGAGAAGGCGGCCCAGGGTTTGCCCGTTTTGCTGTTCTCTCATAGGAGTTTCTCACGTTTCTGACTATGTTTAAGCGGATGGACCCGAATCCTACAAGCACCTGCTCTGGATTCCATGCCAGGATCTGTGCATGAACATCCTCATGTGGCTGCCTGTCTGGGATGGTCCACCACCCAGCACACTGCCACCAGTTAGGGCTAGGAGCTTCGGATCATAACAGCTTCTTCTCTTGTTCTGGTTCTGCAAGAATGGAGGATTGCTTCGGTGTTTAATTTAAGCCCTCCAGGAGACCTTCCCTGCACCAGCATGCGACCAACATGCCCTGACAAGATCTAGAAAGCACCCATTCATCATCACTGGGCCAAGATCGATGATGTCTGTATGTCTATATGTCTATATGCATAATTACGTATATGTTTACATATGTAGAAACACGGACAATACGTACACCTGGTGGCACACAATCGCACAGGCATGCACAGGCCGTTGAGGAACTTGTATGAATACTCTGCCCGAAGTGGATATGACTCTTTGAAGTGCGCGCGACTCACCAAAGCAATGATGCGCGGAGATGCACCTTGTTGTGTTCCTCCTCGCTATTTGCTATAATGACTATATATCGCTTTCTTGAGTCGTGGCATCTGTCAGGCACTATCAGGCACGCAACTACACAATCAGAAGCAGTGATATGATGCGCCCACACTGGGCAGCCTGCATTTTCCGACTAGTTTCGACAAGCTCCATGACCAGGTCAACTTCCCATTCCAGCGATCCTCAAGCCGAAGATGCTTTGGACCGACGAGAGAGTGACTCCCTGACCCTTTCCCCAATCTTCCCCACATCGCCTTACTTCGTGTGGCTGTGTCAAGGGTTCAGGGTTTAGGGTTGAGGGTTTAGGGTTTACGGTTTAGGTTCCATGTCTCGAGTGTCCAACTGTAGACCTCCCGGCTCTTCCCTCACCGGCGCTCGCCAGGACAGGCAAGCAGATCCTGTCCATGCTTCTGCCCAAGACGTTGTCAATGAAGGCCGGTACTGTACCTGCCAGTGAAGTATACCGCATGAGCCAAAGAGAGGTCTTGGCGTGATTGAATCTAATCTTGCGGGGGGGGGGGGAATAATTTCCTGGCAGTTTGACAGCACTTCCCCCTGTTTTCTTCCGGGTCACGCCGACCTCACGATGTGATCTTCGGGCGTGCCCAGCGCGCGGAGGCCAGGGCCACACTTGCCTGGCCTCAGCAGAAGAAGAAGCAGAGAGTCCTCCGGGCGGCCCCTCTTCGGAGGGCTTATGCGCAGGGAAGGGCTCCTCTGACAGCCTCGTGCAGTCACGTAGTGACGTAGTGTCGAGTGGACGCAAGCCGAGGCGCGCCAAATGCTCCCGGGGAAGGGGCGACCCTCTTCCTGAAGCCTCCCAAATCTTAGGAAAGCCAGATGGCGCCCTTCGGGGCGGCTCGGGCCAAGCGTGCGGAGAGAGGGATAGAGCGAGACGATGAATAAGTCCACAAGAAGGATGGATGGAGGGCATGGAAGGAAGAAGAGATCTCTTCGCTAATCGTGGTGTCGCCTGCACGTGGGACTGGGGCAGACTTGGAGATGAGCTCTCAGCAGTTGGTTGGTCAAGTTCCCAAGTGAAAAAGTGGCTTGCTAAACCATGTCCCAGAATTCTATTTCCTGCCCATCCGCTCTCCCTGGCCCAGCGCGATGCAGCCATCGCGTCCAAGAACAAGAAGGCAACCGCGCACTAGGAGGGCGTTGAGTGCAGACCAGTCGACTTGCAAAAGGCTGATTGGTCGTTAATTCAGAGCTTTGCATCTTCAAACATGCGTGGAAAGTCAGCAGCAGGGACAACCATGCATCCCTCGGACCGCATATCTAGGCGCCATATGTCTCGAAAGATTCAGCTGCCTCATGTGTGTACCATAGTTGGCTTGTCCTCGAGACACAGCTGCAGTTGATTGCGCACTATCCAGGATGAGATGGATTTCGCAGCGAGCGATTGCAGGGCATGGGCCTCGGAATCGTCCTAACCCACGTGACATGATTGCAAGACATTGTACAAAGCGGGAACATCCTTAGGATCGAATCTGTCGATTCGGCCCCCAGGTATCGAAGGGTATCCCATCAGACCCTGTGCTCAGACTCGATATTTCAAGTTTAGCGGTTTCTGAAGGGCCCCTTGGACCGCCGGTCTTTGTGGCCCTGGGAAAGGTGCTCATCGTCAACGGCGAGCTGTTGAGCGGGATCGTTTGTAAGAAAACCGTTCGCTCCCTACGACACAGCCACAGTCTAGACGGGCCTGCAGGAATCTGAAGCTCTCAGTGTCCTCTGACATCAGATCGGCTCCTCTGGCGGCTCTTTGCTCCATTTGGTCCGGCACTGAAAGAGTACGTGAAGAAACACGCCGCGATAGTCACGACGCCACAATGTGTACTGGTTGGATCTCACACCCTTGGAAGCAGAGTGGCTGCTCTTGATCCAGGGCTGCTCTTGATCCAGGACTTGTCTCATACTTTACTCAGCGTCCGAGTGTCAGGTGTGGCTGGACAGTGGGCCGGAGTGGTGTCGCAACGTGCTTTGGCTGATGTTATCACCCTATACACCTCACCCTACCTCCCAGCCTGCCAGCCCTCGAATTCAATTCGACGCCCTCCCATTTTGGAGGCCTCCCCACGGTTTAGCATTGGGAGGGGGGATTTGGCAACACTTGGCTTCGTGTCGCCTTGTTTGTAAATGAACGAGTGATGCTGTTGGCATCACGTCTTGCATCTGCCTATCTGCTATGAAGATCAAGGGGAAGTGTGTGGCCCGGGTGATGCCCTGCCCGCGTGGGTGAAAGAAGTCCGTTTGCGTGCGAGTATGTCACACTGTCTATGTGTCCAGATGCAAGCTGTGCATGACGTCATACAATTGAGTCGGTCAATCGAGCAAAGCGGGGACGGGACTGCCGGTGTACCGTGTACCCTAATTTGCTGGCATCCCGTGTGGGAATCAACCAGTTGCACCGTGCTTGTAAAAGAGCAAGTATGCTGTCAGCTAGCCAATCCAGCCCACGCGAGGTGCTTTCCTACATCCAGAAGATGGTGAATCAGTGGTTGACACACAATGGGTACTCGTGGCTGTTTGGAATGGCTAGAGGGCTTTTGGCCCGTGCAGTTTCCAAGAACTTCATTGATATTGTTCTGATGCTTCCGTGAACAGCTCCTGCCAGGTTCTCCTGTGGCGTGGCAGACATCATTGCCAACGACCAGACACTGCTAAGTGTGGAGAAGACCCTGAAACAGGACCCGCACGAACCCACTGCAGGTCAACTTTGCTGAGCATGAGTTGACGTGTGACGTCTTCAATCGCACCACAGCCAAGCCCTGCTTTGCTAATTGTATTTGTAAGCCGCCGTTACTTGGGGCAACACTGAAGGCCTGACGGAGTCCAGCTTGTGATTGAGTTGCTCAGTTTTGGAGTTCATCCCTTCATTCCTTTAGCAGCTCTCTCGCGTCGCTCGGAGTCTTTGTATTCCGATGCGTCTGCAGACGCAGGCCAAGAAAGAGGTCCGAGCGCTGCTGGCAGATGCGCAGCGCGGGAGGCTGGAGACGCAGCCCGGGAAGACCATGTGCGCCCAGCGGGACCGGGAGCCTACTTGCGAGAGTCGCTTTTTGCAGTGCTCTTCGTGCTTGGAAGAATTTGAAGCTTGTGCCAGCTTGCGGAGCGGGGAATGGCAAGCCTAGCCACTGAGTTGGGCCACGGATTCTGCAGATGCATGGGATTCATGGGATTGACATGGATTTACCTGGGCTGCGGCCTTGGAGGGGAGGGGGGAGGGCCGTCCATTTTGGAAGCGCAGGTACCAGTCTTTCGAGGCAAAGGCAAACCAGCGGCTGAACTCTGCCCGCGAGGCCTCAAGCGTAATAGCCTAATAGCCCCCTTTTTGTCTCTTAGAATTGAGGGCCCAATTACATGGTCGCACCCGAGTCCGAAGTTTTTCGAAGTATAACTCACTAACCTAAGGCCCGTATCACCATCGGTGCTCAGATGTTAGCCTCATATTCTGGAACTTAACATATTGCTTCCAAGTCCAAGGTCCTAAGCTAGCCTGACATTTTGCTGTTTGAGGCCACATGCATGGTGCTGTAGTGCCCATTCTTGTTGCAGTAATTCTGGGCGTCACATTGCAGGACCTCTGAGATGACAGTAGTAGGGAGACTGGTGCTCCGGCAGGGAAGCACACGTGACATGAGTTCCCGAAATACGGGCTTGTCGCCATCCTCTTGAACAGACAGATATTCTGGTTTGTATTTACACATATTTGACATGCATTATAGCATGAGAGAATGATGTGAGCGATGCTCTCGACCTTGGAAATGAGTGACGCAAGTGGCAACACATGGCATCAAGGCAAACATGTCTTGTGCTACCAGGTAGAACTTGTTTCTGTGTTTCATATGGCCAGTGGCTGCAACCATGATGGTCGGACGCAGCCAACAACCCAAGAGCCTCCTACTATGAGTTGGGAGGACGCCGGCAACATCGGGGCGAGCTCGCTGGATGAGCGCAACAATATCATCTCCATGGTGTCTCAGCCTTCGGTTATGGCATTTCTGGCAGGACGTGCGGCTTTCTGGGTTTTAGTCTTCGGGCTTCGCCCGCTTGAGCAGGGAGGCAGGCACGCGATGTGGGAGGTCTTCAGCGGTGATGCTCTTGACCACACATCGACGCATCCTTCACTGCGCACCGGATGCTGACATGCAAGCTCAGGTGAATGCTGGCTCTAAAGGGCAGGGGCCCTGGTGGGTGTGCGCTGCGCGTGCTGTATCCTGCTGTCTCCGCGTACTCACACGAATCCGCACAGATGCCTTCTGACAGCTTGTTGTTTTTTCATATGAAGGGTGGTGTTGGCGGACTGAGGTCTCCTCTGAACATTGCCCAGATTGTGGCCTGTGTGGGCCAGCAGAATGTGGAAGGTGCCCGTATCAGGCACCGAGTGGAGAATATCAAGCGCAGCTATCAAATTCTGCAGGCGTTGCTGGCATTTTCTATAGGTCGAAAACATGTCTCTGAAAAGCCACCTGCTTGCCGTTCACGGAACAATTCGTCTGCTCTCAGTACTCAGAACTTCAAGATGAAGTGCAGACCAAGCATAGGAGGTTCCCCTGCGGTTCACAAGGGGTGGTTAACATGTGAGACGGTATTCTATCCTGAGAACCTCAGCAGCCACATAACACGACAGATGCTGCAGGTATGGATTCAACGAGCGGACGTTGCCCCACTTCACCAAGGACGGGATTCGAATTCGGCTGCCGCATTGCTTTCACAGCTTGAACAAGCACGAAACTGCAAGCATGACCTTGAATTTCCGAGCCCTTCCAGGACGACTATGGTGCGGAGGCTCGGGGCTTCGTGGAGAACTCTTACCTGGCGGGCCTGACACCGCAAGAGGCCCGGCCACGAACTCAAAAGTCTGTTGGTAAGCTTGAGGAGTCTATGGGAGTCCTCGTTTGTTCCAACAGTCGGCAATCGACTTGGGCTGAAGAGCAACATATTGGCTGAAGGATTCTTCCACCAGGTTGGCTGAAGGATTCTGCAGTGTCTCCATGTTTTGGTGCGCCACCGTGCCATCAAAACAACAGACATCTCGTACTGAGGGGTTCATATCATGTACAGCCGGAGCAAAGGAGTCAAGAACTCCCGCAGTTTGCTTCAGCCTTGCAATAGATAACCTCAGCTTCCCAGTGCGGCCCAGAGTTTCAATCGGTGAGAAAGCTGGGGTCCGCCAGGTCTGGATGCATGCCATGGGAGGCCGCGAGGGAGTCATCGACACGGCCTGCAAGACCTCGGAAACCGGGTGCCGTCCCTTCTTCCCAGAAACCGCTAGGAAACTTCGGGCTTTGTCCTTTTGTGCATTCTTGTCCTTGACTTAGGCCTTAGGCTTAGCAATGCCACGAAATGCTGGGGAGATCAGGTACATCCAGCGTCGCCTCGTGAAGTCCATGGAGACGTTGAAGCGCGACTCCCGGGCAGCGAAGCGGCGAAGCGCAGACTTCAGCCGCCTTTGTGTGCAGGGGTGGAAATTTCACTGTGCTTGCAGTAGCTTCTAGTAGCTTACCCTAGCCTCCGTACCTTACAGTAGCTTGCAGCAGCTTGCAGAAACTAACAGCTTTTGAGATGCAGCCAGGGTGGCCTACGATGGTACGTCTCGCAACGCCTGCAATGCCACAGCCCAAGCTACCGGAAAAAAGGCTCTTGTGGATTTGGCCTCGAGGGGCTTTACACAGATTTGGACACTCCGCAGACGTGTTCAGCCAGGACATCATCCAGTTCCTCTATGGTGAGGATGGTATGGACGGCCTTTGGATCGAGGAGAGTGACCAGCTGATGCCTGACAAGTCCCCACGCTCCACAGCTAAGGCAGCTAAGGGTCTCCCAGGCTCCAGATTAAAGCATTGGTTTCTTTGCAGGATCAGACACTGGACATCATGACTTACGACAACCGCAAACTTGAGAACACCTTCCAGCCGCTCTGTTTGAATTCGGCCCTCTCGGCCTCAGGAGTTGGAGCCCAAAGATCTGAATCTGAGTCTGGAAGAGTCGTAAGCGAACTCTCGCCAGGCACAAGTATACCGATGCAGACTATGGGCTCGGATGGCTTCCAACGGAAGTCTTGGAGGACATCAAGGCCTCACGGCCCTAGTCTGGGATTGGTGGGAGACAGTTGGGGCGCGAAACGCCCGAGACGTTTGTCTAGAAGCTGAGGCATGAAGGTCCAAGCTTTGCTGCGTGTCTTCGGAGCGTCGGTGCAGGGCATGTTGCGCAACTCATTTTAACTTTCGAAAGCTGTCTCATGAAAAAAGGCACATCAAAACACATCACACGAACGAATCAAACTATAAGAAGTATTAAGAATAACTTTGGCTATGTGCTGTTACTGATGCAGGGCAGCTTTGAGCACCAGCAGCTTCTCGACAAGGAGCCCGGTACCCGGACGTGCACACGTGCGAGATGTAGCGAGATGTAGCAATGAGAGTGCATAGTCACTATAGTCACAGGAATCACCTGATGTTGAGGTGGGACCATCTGAAACTCATCAAGCATCGGATCTGCAGTGAGGCGCTGCAGCGTGAATATCCAGCAATGACTCTAGCTGTCTTGAGATGTAAATTTGCTTGTCCTTTGTCTCGCTTGGAGTTCTGGTCGAATGCAAGGTGTACCCCGACGGTGAGACGAAGCAGCACATCCCCATCAACATCTCGAGGCTCGTGACCAGGATAGGTATGGCCATGGCGGGCGAGAACGTGAGAAAGATTCTGTGCAAGTTCCCCGGGATTGACCAGTCAAGTAACCCAAGCTGCGACAAATTGTTTGGATGCCGGTTATCAAACATGAAAGCCACCCCTTTTGCAAGAAGCGCTGGAAGCATCGGTGGCTCGAGCCCCTGAGATCACTTGAGATCTCAGGTTTTTCCAATGTGTCGAGAACTGCCTCAACTTTGGGGGTTCCATTTCCGATGCCCCCTTGAGGCTGCTGGACAGGGCTCGCAACCGCATCACTGATGAGGATGGCTCTGAAAAGCAAGAGAGGCCCGGCCCTGCCCCAAGTATCGTAAGGCGAAGTTTTTTGAGATGATTCTGTAGAGGTAAAAAAAACCTCGACATGAGTTGGCCACCCTAAACCTGAACTCGTTTCCTTTTGAGACGTTTTCGGATGTGGATGATGCGCAGTGCTCTGAACTCTGAACTCTTCGAAAAGACAGGTATACACCCATGGAGATCGTCACAAAAGTGGAAGAACTGATGAAGCAGTTGGAGGCACGTAGGCATCACTGAGGAGAGCCGTGATGGTCTGTCTCGTCTTCCTGAAAGCTTGCGGAATTATGCCGATTGCGCTTGAACACCTCAGGGCATACGGGCGAGCGTAAAGGGTGGGTGGCACACTGGCGGACAAGCAAGAGGGTGGCAAGCTGCCTGGCGGACATGCAAAAGACACGGTGCAGGCCAGTCAGCTACTGAACAAATCCTCAACTTTCAGGCATCATCAGACAAGAAGGCTCGTGTACTTGTAGGAAACAGGACGAGCCATTGGGTGGGCAAGGGCGGGTGCTTGCTAGAGCCTTTCCGTTCATATTGTTCTGTCTGCAACGTTCCTTCGCATTCCTTCTGCTACATGTACAGGATTCAAGTGGCTTCTATACGACTGCATGGATGTATTGCTAGCAAGCTGCAATGACCCTTGCAGGAGCAAGCAACGGCCGCAAAGTTTTCTATGATTTAGATGCGCTCTAGTAATTATGTGTGGTGTATATCATACATATACATCTTTGCGCATACTTAGCAGCTGTCTGACTGCGAGGTGACACGAGCCATTGCCGAAGGCGATACCATCGGGCGTGAAGTGGAAGACAACGCGAAGGCACTTCGTTTAGTCTTAGCTTCTCCTACTTCTCACTATGTCATCAGTGTAACACTGTCCTGCGCAGTGGGTAGATTCCCCACGCGGCTGTTGCATCATATCATGCTTCCCAACCCGCTTCATTTGGTCTGTGCAAAAGAGGCGAGGCGCCTTGGAGTGTGAAGCTTTCGTTCATAAAGTGGGCTTTGGATCTTAGACGTTCGAGCACCGGGATGGCAGCGTCGGTGTAGGTGATTGTCGGATGCAAGTTTGCGGCAATGCCTTAAACATGTGCAGATCGTCCTCAATGCGCACCTCCGGTGCGCGCTGGCCTCACGGAAGATCCTGGAGAAGGTGAGGGAAGCTTGCTGCATGGTTGTCCGGCCTGGGGAGTTCCGTCGGGAGCTACAGGGGAAAGTCTTCTGCTGATAAACGTTCGCTATAAGCCTTGGTGTCTGGCGACCTCACGTCGTTTTTCAGACAAGAGTCATGAATCAGGACATCAGGGTTCTGATCCGGCTTTACTCGTAGGAGTCAAGCTGCTGTGATTGAAGGTGTACACACTCAAACATGCCCGGCATGAGTTCAGAGTGCTCAGCCAGTGTCCCGCACCACTTTTTGAAGCACGGCTTATTCATCTTGGAGCTCACAATGAATTACATGTCTCTCTGAGTCTGCCTCTTTCTACAGGAGAAGCTTTCCAAGCAGTCCTTCGACTGGCTGGTCGGCGAGGTCAAGCAGAAATTCATGCCACATGACATATATTTCATTGCCAACGCCATACAACAGACCTGAGCATGTCTCGCAAGCCAGTATGAGCTTCTCGACCAAGGAAGTCCCTCGTTCATCCAGGTGCTGCCCGCCTCGTTTGCAGAGGGTCGGGTACTGGTGAAGGGGGGGCCTCCATAGGTCATACATGCCTGGGGTGCAGATCGTGGTGTGTTCCGCAAGATGGACTGAAGTGTGTAGCAAAGCTGAGCGATGCTGAGTTCAACCACTCTTTGGCCACTGAAGGCTCAGGGCCCGGAGAAATTCTCAGGGCCGCAGCTTGCTAAATCCAGGTCCATCTGAGGCTTTTCTAGCTGGCCGGGTAAATCAGTGCAGTACGCGTGATTTGTGGGGCCCAGGTACAGGTCAGACTTGAAACTCGGGGAGTCAAGTTCTTCACCGAGCCAGCTTGAAAAGCCAGTATCCATATCCTTTTGACGATGATTCCGGAATCTTCGAGGACTGGCTCGGGTCATCGGAACTCTGGCAGATGCCCTGCTTTGTAAATGCGTCTGGGGTTATTTGCAAAGAAGGATGGATGCACGGAATATTCATTTGAGCCGACTGCCCCCTGTTTCCCTCTTTTATTTATTTGTTTATCTATTATTATTATTATTTTTTTTTTGGGGGGGGGGGGGGGGGGTGGGGGCGTTTGGCTTGAGGCTTTTGAGATCAGGTTGAGTTTAAGGTTTGAGGTCAATCGGTAAAGTTGATATAAGAAGGCAACATGGGTTTTAGATCCCTATTCACAGATGCACATTTTCACAACCTCCCTGGTTCCCAGGACCCACGTGGTCCTCGGGCCAAGCAATATCACTTCGGTCCTGCTGTTGGAACAGGCTGAGGCCCCCTTGTCAGTTTTCAGGAGTTGGGGGTGGGGATAGTCTCTGTGTGTGGGTGTGTCTGTGTGCGCGTATGGAATATGTGTATGCGCATATAGTTAATGGTCACATGAATAATTACAATATGCATGCATATTCTATAGATATAGATATATATATATATATGTGGTACATAAGCCCGCCCTCAAGATCTACATATGTCCAGACTTCTGTATTGCCATACGAAGATGAAGAGATTGGTGGGTAGGGGTCCAGGATGTGAGTCAGAAGTTTGGTGAAGAGCAGTTGACTTATCGTAAGTGCTTTACAGGCCTAGCCGACTGAGCGGACTCGCACAAGCAATACTCACACAGCTGACAGGGTCTTTCAAACTTCTAAGGGAATGCAAGCAGGAAATCAGCCGTTGCATTTCGAGGGGATTTCGGAACGTTTCGATCGTGGAAGCTCATCACGCGCATCGGTTGTTCCAGTAGCTGTGAGGCCTGTGAGTCATAGCCCTCTTTGGATTTTGGGATATTTTGGGAGAATCGGAGCCTGCCTATTTGGAAGCATGCCAATGCAAGTCTCCAGCTTCCTCGCCAAGCCACAAAAAATAGATCTTTGGGGGGGGGGGTGAGGGGGTGGGGGTGGAGGATACATGTACGTGTGGCCGTAAATGTTCGAATGTGTCTGCTCTCTCTCTCTATATATATATATGTGATATGTTATGTGTAGTTTGATGGCATGGCATCGTGTTTTTGACCCTCTTATACTAGACTATGTTGATATAATCTCATATTCCTGACAGGGAGCCCCCTCACGACCCGACCCCAGTCGTCCTTGTTTGTAGATCCTGGAAGCCGAACCAAGAACGGCGTGGCACTCGTGGCACTCCCGCCGCTGACGATGCTCGCTGCGCTTCTCTTCCTAATGCCCGCAGTGACGGCCTTCCGCGCCTCGGGCTCGCGAGATCGTGCTGTGAGATTCTGTGATGTCACGTGATTTTCTGTTGGCAGCTGATATGAACATCGCTTTTGATCAGCCAAAAGAGCATGCATCATGCATCGTTTCTGATCCTGCAATCCACCGCATAAGAAGACTCAAGCCTGCTGCTGTTCGGACATCTGCTCACCGACATGCCATGTACACCACAACCACGGTTTCTTTTTGTGTGGTCTGAGTCGTGGCACTTGCTGGGGTCAAGCGTGCAGCTCCGACTAGGACTGGGCAGAGCGACTCTTGGTGGCAGCTGCTGGATGCATGGGACAGGGCGCTAGGTTTGCGACATGCACGTGTCAGCATGACTGGAATTCTTGACAGCAGCAACGTAAGAACTGCACCACCAGCTCGAGTTGAACAGCAATTTCTGTCCTGTGATGGGAGCTCATGTTGAGGACTGCATGTTCGTGTTCATTTTCCAGTTTGCATGTGTTTGCACGGCCATGAGATTGCAGCAGTCCGTTCAGGTGGCATGCTGCCGTCTTTGCCACCACGGCCGTCATGTCCTTCATTCACGAGGCAAGCTTTGTCTCTTATCTTGGCAACGCCTTCTGCATGGTTCCTCACCGCCCGACCCTGGCCAAGTTGTGCCCACAGGGCCCGAGATCATCGTCAGTCTCAGTAAACCTCAAGCCTGCCAAAATCTGCCAAACTTGAATGCCAAAAGACACAAACCGACAAGCCCAAACCACAATGCTCACGGCCCCAAACCCGAGCCCCGAGCTAAGCTTCACCCGACCAAGCCCAAAACCTCCAAACCCGCCCTGCCCAAGCCCCCATCCAAGCCCGAGCACGAAGAATCCCAAAACATCCAAACGTGGTTGCGAGTCAAAATCCCAAAACCCCAAGACCCAACCAAGGAGGACCCATGTCTGAAAAGGGCAGCTGTCGCGGCTCAAGACATCCACAGCGGATGACAACGGAGAGCGGAAAGATATGGAAAGCCATGGAGGCAAAGCGGGGCAGCGCTTTGAGTGGTGCAGCCGTGGCCGGCGTTCTGGAGGTGTATGTTGTGGCCAGTCTTGCAAGGTATGCGGAGGCTCTGCCCGCGTCACAGCTTGCACCCAGAGCTACTTGCAGAGTTTGGGTAGGACGTGCACTTCTGCTCTTGACGTTGCCTGCTTGGTTCCTGACTATCTCCCTCGACGCCGTGGGAATCATACTCCAAGCTGCATAAGCGCGGTGTCAGAGAAGCTTCCTTTGCTCACGAGGGCCTTCGTCACCGCGGCGGGGGTTACCAGGCCAATGCACTCTACGATGTACCAGCAAGCAGTGGTTGCTTGGCAGGACTGTGTGGAGTCGATGGGCGGTGTCTTTTGGGAGTTTCACCTAGGCAGAGCGGAGTGGCCAGAGCTGTATGCGAGGTACGGCGAGCTTTTTTTCGGCCAGAGTTACCTTCAAGTCTTCATGTGCGCTCCGAGCATACAGCCGCGCGACCAGTGGCTGCCTCCCGTGCCTGCTTGTGGCCAGATCGAGAATTTGGTCAAAGAGGCCCTGCCCTTGTCCCTGCGCTATGTGTATCAGGGCATCTTTCGAGGTGCGACTTTGCCTCCTCCGAGAGGAGCGAGACTTGTGAAAGGCGGGGAGGAGGAGGCTGGCATGGAACTCTTGTGGGATTTGGCAGCCCGGGCAGCCCGGGCACAGCGGAGCCACCAGCATGGCCTCCCAGGTGTTTCGCTGTCTTCGCGGACTCCAAAGTCTCCGGGGACTCCGGGGACTCTCCAACGACCTCTCCAGCGTCCTCTCCAGGCTGCCCTGTGTATTGCAGGCCTAGCAAGGAGCCTCTGGATGCCGGAAGTTTACAAGTCCATTGCTGAGAACGTCACAAAAATGCTGGGTGCCCAAACGCAGAATTTTTACGTCTTGGACCTCCAGGGCCGCCAACTGCGAGACTTCAGCGCTGCGCTGCGAGCGGTGCCCCCGGACCACCTGGCACTCTACGACGAGTCCAAGGCATCGTGGTCCACACTCCGAAAGTGTCACTGGACGCCAGGAGACAACAGCCACAACGTATTTGCCAAGCTCCAGACCTGCCTTCACCTCATCACGGAGACTGAGAAAGCACAAAACTATCGATTCGACTGGGTGTTGCGCTTGCGTCCGGACATGACCTTCAAAGCGCCCATTGGCAACCTGAACAGCTTTGATACGAGTTCTGTCTATATCCCGCGGAAGAAGAGCCATCCATATCCATCTGACACTGTTGACACTTTCGCCATCGTCCCAAGGAAGCATCTACACTCGTACTTTGGTACTGGTTGCCCCACAGTCAGGGACGTACAGTTGGCCTACCGCAACAGCCTTTGTTACGGTCTCTCCTGCAACAAGACAAGCTGCACTACAATCACTGAGTGTGTGCTGCAGATTCGACTTACAGCTCGCTCTGTGCCAGTTGAAGCGTTTCCGCCGCTCCTGCGCGTCGTCCGCGAACCTACCTGCCGTCCGGGTGACTTGAAATGCCTCGCTGGTTGGCTTGACGGCTGGAGAAGTTCTGTTCCGACCGACCTGAACGAAAAAGACGCGTGGACTTCACAATCTTTGAGTTCATGAGGAACCGCGAACAAGCTGTTACTAGGGTAGACTATTGTGCTTTCTTGTTCTGCATTGGCCCATCATCACATTGGCAATCGAAAGTTGCGTGACAACGTACCTAAAACGTCTGAAAGGCCCCGCCCTCCCCGGCTTGGTTCTTCGGGAGGTCTATAAAGGACATTGAACGCCGGAACCCGATGGAACCCGTAGCCGTAGCAAGACCCCCCCCCCTTCGAAACTCAGCGATCTGAGGCCATGGCCAGCAGTCTCTGCAGCCTCCTGCCATCTCTCGGGAACCTGCTTGCTGCAGGCTGTCCCTAAGTCTGAGGGAACAATCGGCAGCATGTTTCTGCTGTTGCCGAGGCATTCTAATAATGCACTATAGTGAGGTTTTACGGCACTTTGGTGTCTCTTGGGATTTAGAAGTTTAGATTGCCGGGCGAGGCTCTTTCCATCAGTGGCTGCGGTTGCTCGACTATGGCAGCTGCTTGGCTGAGCTTGGGCCCAGGTTCCGTCCAGAAGCATCTTGACTGTCTTAACTTGAAGTCTTCTCTCTCTTTTTTGGTTAACTACTGGGCGTCTTGGCCATCTCGCCCGAAGGCTCACGACCCCCACGGGTCCATGATCCCTCCACGCTCCTGTGACCTGTGTGGAGGTAACCTAACGCGTCCTAAATCCTTCCAGGCCATTCTAAAACTCCTCCTTGAGCGACTGACAAAACCGTGTGTTCGT